GTTTGTGTATGTTGTGGGGTGGGGGTTGTTTGGATTTTCCAAAAGGGGCAAATTCCAAAATTGGAAACCCGGTGGAAGAGACCTAGGTTCCCACAGACCCAGGCAAAGTTTGGGGAAGGAAGTCGAACTTGTTGGAGGTGCCTGGGGAGTGGTCTTCGAAGAATTGGGTATTTTTGGCTTCTAGAATTTCTGTATTGTCTTTTTCCTCTCAGGACAGAAGCAGAAACAGCATGGTGTTTTCCATTGCAAAGGACACACTTGGCTTTGTTTTATTATGACAATCTTTAAAAGAATGTTGACAGTAGCATATGCTGCAAATCAGTGCTTGGGTACTGCATTTGTTGGTGGTATGACCAAATGTGTAAAATTTAAAACATTGTGTAACACTGGCAAACCTTTCAAGAGAGATTTGGTCAGTGTACATCTGGTGCCAAAACATTTGAAACCATTTTGACATACTAGTTTGTCAGCTTCCGGTGTCTCTAGTATTAACTTAATGTTACCTGGTTATTGCCAGGTTTTGGTAAAATTATATGCTTGGACAACATTAAATTCAGAATTCACATGATTAAATTCTGCAACAATTTTCCTCCACTGAGCTCTCTCTCATGAAGCTGTTAATTCTGGCCACAAACACAGTTCGTTGAGCTTGATAGCTTCAGATGCAACTGGTGGATACCAAAAGTCTTCAATTTCCAGAACATCTTGCTTGAGCATTGAAGTAAACTCTCTTCAGAAGAGAGGAGAAGTACTGCCCCAGCGTGGGTTTGAAAAACATCCACTGGAGCAACAGTTGAATTTGAACAAATACATTCTAGAATTTCTTTCTTCGACTTTTGGTTGTCATCAACACGTAATCTTACTCTTATCCGCGCCATGATGTCCAGGAAGGTACATCTGGCACAGAAGTTGCTTTAACAAAAAGGGTCTTTCCTTAGTGTTAGTCCTGACATCCTATTTCAGCTGACTTATGAAGGTCAGCCCCTAAGATAGCCTACCCTCGAGTGGTGAGGGGGACACAGGGCCCAAGGCAAAGATCGGCCGGATTTTAAAAAACCACACGGGCTACCGGATGGTCAAAATGCCTTGTGTTAACTCTATAAAAAATCTCATCCCTGTATAGTCCCTGCTTCTATAATATAATTTACTATTTGTATCTCCTCTATTCTTCGCTCTCACTTATACTGAGTATTCAAGCTGAACACTGTGGTACTAGCTCGCAGTGGTAGCTCGTATTCAATTTCAACTATGTCAGATTCACTTAACGTGAAAATCAGATCTAGTAGAGCTGGTTGGTCCCACACCCTCACTCTTGTGGCTTCTTTGCTTTGTTGGATCACAAAATTTTCTACTGCTGCCTCCATCAGTTTCGTTCTCCTGTTTCTGGTCCTCCATGTTTCTGGTCCTCCATGTTTCTGGTCCTCCATGTCTGGTCCTCCTGTTTCTGGTCCTCCATGTGGGTCCCAGTTCTCACAGTGTATTTTCATTGTTATGAAATCGCTTACAATTGTAACTTTACTTTAGTTTTTACCACTTTTATCTAGAATTTGCATTGCAAACTCTGTTTTTCTAATCATATTACTGCCTGGATCTTGTTGCTCGGTGTGGGGTTGTAAACTATTGCTATTACCTTGGGTCCCCCAGTCTTTATTTATCGTTTTGTAAAGTCTTTGAAGTTTACCAATGTAGTACATATAATAATCTCCTCAAAACTCCTTGATTCTTTACCAATAGTGCCACCTTACCTCTCTGATCACCCTCCGTCTCTCTCTCTCTCTCTCTCTTCTCACTATGATCCACCCCTCTGGGAATAATGCATTGGTTAACATGTCAGAAAGTTTTGTCTATGATGGCTATATTATCCGGATGTTCCTCTGCTACTCTGTTCTTTAGTTCACCACTTTACTTTGTGATACCATCTTCTTTTAAATACCACTCTCTGATTTTCTTATCCTGCACTTCATGTTGTGGCTTCAGGTACTGAAGCTGGCTTCTGGGAAGAGTTTAAATGGGAGAGAGGGGAGTAGTGAAGGCTTCATGGGGCCCGTGGCCTGGTGGCTAAAGCTCCCGCTTCACACACGGAGGGCCCGGGTTCGATTCCGGGCGGGTGGAAACATTTCGACACGTTTCCTTACACCTGTTGTTCTGTTCACCTAGCAGCAAATAGGTACCTGGGTGTTAGTCGACTGGTGTGGGTCGCATCCTGGGGGACAAGATAAGGACCCCAATGGAAATAAGTAGACAGTCCTCGATGATGCACTGACTTTCTTGGGTTATCCTGGGTGGCTAACCCTCCGGGGTTAAAAATCCGATCGAAATCTTATCTTATCATGGAAGGGAGAGGGGAGAGGAAGTGTTATCACTAGAGATATTGTGAAGGGGGAAAGGGAGGAAATGAGAGCACGTAAGCGAGAGAGTGACTAGAGGATGGAACAGGGTAAGTAACTAGATCATTAATGGTATTTACATTAGAGGTTAGAAAATAAGAGATGAAAGGAGGAATCGTTGGTTTCCTACACCTGGTTGCTGGTTGATAATTCTTTTTCCCTGGATACCTGGCTTCTGCATCCCATCCCTGCTTCGTGATTGTCTCACAGTTTCCTCTTCTTCCACCTCACCTTGCAGTTTGTTTCGCTTGTATGTTTGATCTCTCTATAATAAA